GCTATATTGAACATAATCATGCAATCAAATTAAAATCTTGATTGCATATTTTTCTTATTGTTTTATTTAATTATAGAAGATGTACATGTAGCATGAATGTAAAATTTATGTGTCGTTCTTTCTATGAATGTTAAAAGGGAAAACCTGTAGACGGGCAACTGGACAATATGCTACAAGCGACGACATAGTTGAGGAAATTAGAATCTGGAAATATGAATAGCCGTCCAAAAATTGAAAATCAGGATGAATTGAAACAATATTGCCATGTAATTGCAATATGTTCATAAATTTTGCAGACTAAGGGTCCGTATGATTGCAAATATGGAAAATGAGTAGAAAAAAAATGTTTTATAGGGAATTGATTTTAGGGAATGTCCATTATGCCCGATTTGTAAGCGGGAAGAGGAGTCAATAGTTTATATTTTGTGGTTGTGTATTTCATCTCAAGATGTTTGGGGTTCTAGCTCACGAATGATTCAGAAGGTGTCCTTTATGCCGCTGAATTTCAAGGAACTGATGTGCCACCTACTCAATAGACTAAGATATGGAAATTTTTACAGCCACTGTCTATCATATTTGGAAGAAGCGTGACTCCTCTATCTTTGAGAATAAATTTGTGGATCCAGTATCAGTAGCAAGCACGGCTCGACACATTGCTTTGAACTATAGAAGAGTGAATGTCTTGCCAGTCAGAATTGGTACTAGTGGAGACCAAATAGCCCAACATTGGGTCGAGCCGCCCTTGCATCAATATAAAGTGAACTGGGATGCGGCGGTTGACTCGGCCAATCACCGAATTGGAATTGGTGTCGTTGTGAGAGATTGGACACGAAACTTTAAAGTATCACTGATGTCTCCAATGAATAATCTCCCGGATGCTTTTTTGGCTGAATCTATTGGAGTAATGGAAGCTGTCAAACTGAGTAGACATCTTGAGCTAAAATCAATCATGCTAGAAGGGGACTCAATGAATGTGGTGAAGGGACTTAAAAGGTGAACTAGAGATATGGACCTATCCCGGCCTACTGATCCAGGACACAAAGAGTTTGCTTGGTTATTTTCATTCTTGGTCAGTCAGTCATGTACCTAGACAAGTTAATATGGTTGCTCATACTTTAGCAAAGGAAGCAGTTAAACTCTCTGAGGAGAGAATTGTGTTGGAGGAAACACTTCCTTGTATCCGGAACTTGCTATTTTGAAGCCTATTGGAATGCTTTTTCTCAAAAAAAAAAAAAAAAGAAAGGATTTCATCAAAACGACTTGGAAAAACTCCAAAACAGGAGTTGTCTTGTAGTTTGGGTCGTTAAGGTTTTTCATAAAATTTTACTATTTAAACAAGAGCAAGTACTTTCCTGATTTTCTACTTATTTTTGATAAATTAATATAAAACTTTTTGTATTTGTTCCAAAATATGATATCTTTCCACTATTATGTTGAATCATGTGAGTTGATCAAGGTGTTTTTCTTTAGTCACGCTTGCGCTGCAAACAAAAAACAGTCTCTTCATGCAATTATGATCACTTTGCTATATTGAACATAATCATGCAATCAAATTAAAATCTTGATTGCATATTTTTCTTATTGTTTTATTTAATTATAGAAAATGTACATGTAGCATGAATGTAAAATTTATGTGTCGTTCTTTCTATGAATGTTAAAAGGGAAAACTTGTAGACGGGCAACTGGACAATATGCTACAAGCGACGACATAGTGGAGGAAATCAGAATCTGGAAATATGAATAGCCGTCCAAAAATTGAAAATCAGGACGAATTGAAACAATATTGCCATGTAATTGCAATATGTTCAGAAATTTTGCAAACTAAGGGTCCGTATGATTGCAAATATGGAAAATGGGTGGAAAAAAATGTTTTACAGGTAATTGATTTGCCTAAAAATTGTTTTATTGTGAATTGTAATTAATTGTGTTTGATTGATATAATTTTTCATGGAAAATGTCGAAAGTTTGGCGTCTGTTTGGCTTCGTTTTTTATGAAAATTGTTCATTAAATTGATAATATCTTCTACCATTTGGTTTAGAATTTGTTCCAATTACCAAAAAAATTGGAAAAAAAATAATCATATCGAATATCATTCGTTTGGCTTTGTTTTGCATGGAAATTGTCAATAAAAGTGAAAAAAAATTTATCATTGTGTCTAGAATTTTTTTCCAATTGCAAAAAAAAAAAAGAATCTGGAAAATATTTACCCATTAAAACATCAAGAATTTATTTTTCTCAAAAAGATGGAAAATTTGAAAAGTTGAAAAATATTTTCCTGGGAAAAATGTGCTTATCAAACACTACAAAAGTTGAAAATGTGTGCTATCAAATGGAACCTAAAATGTTAATTTGTCGGTGTGAACCATGTCTAATTTCGATCATTTTCTGACAAAAATTTAAATTTTTTATCGTAAACAGGCACGTTTGATTTCAAATTCCAATTGAAATACTGAAAACTAAACTAAATAAAGAATTCGACTTAGTTCAGAACCGTTTATTGATGGTCATGGCATCCAACCAATAGACTCAAAAGTCAAAAGGCAAATTTGATTGGAATTTCTGATTCGATGGTTTTTCTTGAATAATGATATTTATGATGATCGTTCTTCTATCTAATAACGAGGTCAATCGTACATTATTCAACAAATAAAAAACATCACAATTTTTTTTTTGATACCCAGGTGTCCACCTTCAGCGACTAATCCTGGAGTCTATGCCTTGGCCCCTCAAGACGCCGACCAAGTAAACCACGGGATATGCCCCAAACTGGTAAGGGTCCAAGAGCCTCTCCACTTATCTGCCAAAGTGCGGAGCGAGTCAATACATGTTGCATCTTGCCTTCTAGAATAAATCCTGCCTTTCAGGAGAGAGTCTGTCTTCCAAGAGTCCCATGAATCGAACTCGAATTATGTAATAATGATCTCACCATAGACAGTTAACTATATCTACCAAGGACAAATGACATTACTCTTTTTACTTGCATCCCTGCAATATATGGCATCAAAAATGAACTGTGATGTCCCCCAAGTGCATGAAACTAGGGAGTTCAATTACTTGGCCAGAATTAAATATACAGAATGGCACCATGCCAGCTGATAAAAGAGAAGACTGAAAAATGCACGTGGAAACTGATTTATCTTGTCCAGGCAAATAATTACAATAATACAGTATGTATATGTTTGTATTTATTACGTGCATTCGTCCTTGTACACATTGGGATTTGGGCATATTCACATTAATGCTTTGAGATGTCACCAACTTGCATGTAATCTACTGTTAATTTCCATATACGCAGAGCAGGGAAACTTCCTCGTGGAGTTTCCTTAATTAAGACAGCACTTTTATGTTTAGATGTCGGGTTTCCAAAATATCCTAATTTATACTTGATATAACACTACATTATAATTCAATTCTCAAGAGTCAACCTTGCAACCCTTATGGAGGTTTTATTGCTTCTAATCTATTGGATGGAGAGTCGAGTCAAAGTAAATTGACAACGTCATTGAGCTAGACAACGTCAAAAAATCTGATTTTGATTTCTACCAAATAGGGGCTAGATATGCATTATTGCGTACTTTTGAATTTTCAAACCGTCCCATAGGCAGCACAAGTATTACTACGAAAATAATAATGGAATACAAACTTAGGAAGGAGGCAAACGACATGGCCTTCAACCAACAAAATATAGTCGAGACAACTAGTTGAAAAGACTATGAGCTAATTAAGGAGTTAAAAATACCAACTTTATAATTGACTAGCTTTTTACAAGCACCTCTTGTGCCACAATTTATGTAGCTTAAAATAATTATGTTGGATGAGAATTGTAACATTTTGGTTGAAAGGAATGTAACAAAGTAAGATGATTTTGTAGGGATGTAAAATAAGTGAGCACATTTTTCACAATTATCAGTAATTATATAGGAGGAATAGTAGTTATTCACATGTGATTAAAATTAATATTTAATTTTAATTGAATGAAAAGGCAAAAAAAAAATAGTAACATTTTGGCAAAGTCAAAACATAACTTCATCTCCATGTGGCAAATTAATTGGAAAGTTAGGAATTTGTGTCAGACAGAACTGAACATTTGTGTCTCTTCTCAAATTCAATCACCATGCATGGCCTTAGGGGATGAACCAGTGTGCTGGCTTCCCAATCACATCACATCCAACTGTAAATGAACTAACCACTGAAAAACAGCAGAAATAATAGCGTGAGCTGACTACCCTTTAATCGTGTTTGATAAAAATAGACCCTACAACGTTAGACAAAATTAATGGAAAAAAAATGTTTCAAGGAAAAAACCTGCCACAGCTTTGTTGTTTCTTTTTTCCTTTGTGCATCACCGAGTGTGAGCAATCATCATCTCAAGGAAAGTGCAAATTGCCATGAATCTCGCTTTCTTCATCCAGCTTTATATACTTCTTGTCCTGGTCCTTAAGAATATAGCATCAACACCTTGCTATGGAAGGACAAACTGATTAACTGATCAAACTTCAATTTTAATTAGATATTTATAAAATTCATAATTTTTATCAACTTTTCAATCATACATTTAATCAATTTTTATTAAAATTTTCATCGAAAACTTTGTGGCAGAACCCAATTGTACATGTAACGATTGACAATTATAAGTGGATATTGCACTTTGTCCAAGAAGCTTATCTTTCCCATCCCTCTTTCATATCCTTATCTACTCCATACTTAATTTTCGTGGGGTCTAATTTTGAGTACTTCAAAAGATCACTCATTTATATTATTATTTTCGTACATTTTCGTATTCATAGAGTGTACTTGAAAATATTACAATCACACTTGTTTTGCCTCGAATTTATGCATTATGTCAATCTTTTAATACTCCAAAACATCGTCACTCTCTCACTCTTATATAACAACTCTCCACTGATATTCAAACCATTGACATCACTCTCAAACCTCCTGTCCCTTCACTTCCAAATTGGAATAGCAATCTTTACACGAGCGCGCGCACACGAAAATTATGAAAGGAAATTTTGTAAAGTTGTGCATAAAAAAGTGGCGAAGAAGGGGTCGTATATTCAGACGATCTGATGTCTGCGACGACTGCTACCAATACTGTTGGTGGCCATCAAAGCAAGAGGAGAAGATCATTCCAAATGATGTGCCAAAGGGTCACTTGGTAGTCTACGTAGGCGAGTATTGTACGAGGTATGTTGTCGAAATAAAGTTACTTAGGCATCCACTCTTCAAGGCATTGCTGGATGAAGCTCAAGAAGTCTATGATTTCACAAATGATTCTAAGCTTCATATCCCCTGCCATGAGAATATCTTCCTTAGTGTTGTTCAATGTGCCAAATCTCCAGCAATGAGAAGAATACCACTCTGCCTATAACTGTTCGGCTGCAAGTATCGATTCTTTATGTTTTGACTACTATTTTAGGAAGATGATACATATAGCCATGAGCTGCTGAGTGTTGCACATTACGTTCAATTGTAATATATTTCATTATTCTGCTGTAAAGCAGTTAAAATCATGATGCAATTCATCGAAATGGAGTACAAAAATACTCGAACACTTGACTAGGACTCGCCTCAGCTACTTCTACTTTAAGTTAGATTCGTGCCTCTTTTCCAAGTAACACGGAGTAAAAAAACCCAACACCACCCATTAACATGCAACTAGCAAATTATAGCTTCCAAAATCCGTAGATCCACGAGCAGGGTAAGGCAACTCAATAACATATGACGTTTCTTTCACAATCTCTATAATATTTGTCTGTTAGAACTTTATTAAATCTTGAACTTTATGATCTTGCCAAGATCTTCATGTCAAATCATCAAGAAACTGAATTAACGCGGAACATACCTTAATCAATTGATTTCTGACTTGAATAATAAATCTTGAATCTGGATCTGTAAATCTTCAATTNATATTGAATCTGTATCTGTAATTCTTCATTTTGGTTGCTTCTAATCTCCATCTTAATTCCTGATTGTGGGTTTTATGGAGCTACCTCTTCATATGCTTTCTCTTGTATTCTTGTGTTGATGGGATGCCACAAAGAATGAGTCACTGTCAGGAATTTGTTGTCCTACTCGATGGTAAAGAAAAATGTTTGGTCATTCATTATGATCAGCATATCAAAATATTTAACTCCTCAGCACAACTCTATGCACCAAAATCTGTTTCTTCCTTGTCCAACAAAGTGAACACGAGGCAACAAAAACAAACTAAGCCTTATTCTCAAATGTAAATTTGCGGTCGACTAAACACAAAACAAATTTACTAAACACTTCCTACCATGATTGGATAGGCTATTGGGATAAGGAATCCGGTCCAAAAATTTTATAACCAAAACACACATTTTCTCTTGACTAAAAGAAAAAAGGTCAAAAAATTTATAATGGAGTCCCTCACATTTCGGAACTACTTTTTTTACCCTTGAAATTTTAGGATATTTGCATTATAACCTTGACTGAAGAATGTTGTTTAAAGCACAAAATTGATATAGTTATAGTCATTTGTGTGTTCCACATTATAGTTAGATTTTCTTGTAAAAGTAAGATGTTTATAATTTAGTTTAAATTTTGGTATAATTAATATATAGATACTATGTCACTGTTTGGTGAAGCTAAAAATCATATTATTAGTAAATTTAGATAAAATTGTGATAAAATTTGCGATTATCATGAAATGTGTGGTTAAAATTTAATATTGACGATGGTGTTGTTACATGCAGAAGCGGGACATCAGGGATTCAATTGAGGGGTCCCTGTCGATGATTTGTGCAGAGGGTCTCTCAAGGTTATTACAAAGAGCTGAAATAGAGAGGCATGTTAGGGGTTTCAGTTGTTCCTGTAATGGCTAGCTGATTATAGCTTAGTATTCTATAGGGCTACACAAAATGATTGCCAAGTTATTAAACCAATTCTAGCGACTTATGAAGTTGCTTCCGGTCAAAAAGTGAATATTCAAAAGTCGGCCATGACATTCAGCCCAAACTCACATTTTGGACTCCTTTGGGCTCGAACGAATCCAAATATCTTGGCCTCTACTAGAGTTTTTGCAGTGAAAACTCCAGTTATAGCGCAGACGGGGGTGGTAAGGAGATTCTTATCAAGGTAGTAGCGCCGGCAATGAGCTTATCCTCTCACTGCTTCGTGACATTCTCCATGTGGCACTTCGAACGGAAAGGAATATACACTGTTAAATCGGGCTGTAGGTTGGCAGTTGATCTCAAAAATATTATTTCACAAGGAAGCACAAACTTGCTTACTGGTTGGTGGAAACCGGTATAGCAATTGAATATTCCGAGACAAATCAAAATACTTGTTTGGAATTTTTCTTGGGTATTCTCCCGTCTAATCTTATGCTTAACATCGACATATTCCTATTGGATCTTGTTGTATCAAGTGTGGGTCGGAGGAAGAAAATATTATCCATGTTCTATTTCAATGTGAAATGGAAGTTGATGTTTGGATGGAAATTGACTATACTTTGTATTGCCGTTTGTTGGAGACACTGAGAAGAATTATTTTCCTAGCATGGAAGCGGCAGTCCAGGACAGAAATGGAAAATTTTGTGGCAGTGGTGTGGGGTTGTTGGATTGATCAGAGCTCAGCTTTATTTTTGAAGGTGCGACGAGCTAACCAGAAAGAACACTCCAACATACCGCAGCCTATGTCTCAGAATACCAGATGGCAAGACTCATGGTGGAAAGTCGAGGAAGTAATGTTGCTGCAGGCGTCTCTCGCGATCTAAAGTGGCATCACCTCAGGACATTGAAACTGAATTTTGATGCAGCATTGACAGCAGGATATTTCATGGGACACAGTACTAATACAACAAAAAGTACTAATAATTTGAGATGAACACAGACAAAAAAAAAATGATGAAATTCGTGGAAAAACAGAATACAATTGTATAAATGGTGATATCACCAAAAAGTGTCACTGCAAGACCTTTTAGCAACCAAAGCCCAAAAAAAATAAAATGTTAGCGCTATCTTTTAGTATTGAGAAACAAATCCAGTACCACTCTTTTCGGCTCAATTTGCAAGAATGGCTTTCAACTGTTTCCTTCCCACTGTCCTCCCAAGCCTAGCCCTTGCTGAACAGTAGTAAACCAGCCAAGCCACCATGAAATAAACCTCCATCACGCACTGAAAGCCCAATGAGTAATATCCCCCCATAATCCACCACAACACCAACCTACCTAGCGACCCGCAAATTATAGCTTCCAAAATCCTTATATCCCGAGCAGGGCGTTGCAACCTCAAAAACATATTGTCCATTTCTTCCTCAATCTCTACAATATTTGTCGTCCCATCTACAAATACAACCCAAGAACCCACAGAAAATATAAATCCCACTATCAAATCAATTAAGAACCAGAACACTATAAACACTATGGTCTCCCGTTCTGGACTTTGAACCCATAGTGCCAGATTGATCAACGGATCATACATCGCCCTCAAGAAAACCACTAGAACCATATACAAATTCTGAATTTTGTACCAGCTTGATAAAAACTCTATGACCAGTGCCAGCACAGCCATCACTATCCATTTCATGTAAATAAGAGGCAAAATATTTCTTATCCCACTCTTTACTACACCATTGAAAAGAATGTGAATGCATGACCTGTTTTTCCCTAGCAAATGATTCGCCACTTGATGGAGAACAGCCCTGCGTAACCAAGAAAAGATAACTACAACTATAACCAGCGCTAATGTATAAAGATAGCATGCATTGAAAAGAAAAGCTTTCAACAAATTGACATCATGCCGACTCAATTTGAATTCCCTTATCAAGAATCCCAAATCAATCACAGTATGGTGATCGTCCAAACTTCTTTCCACAGTTTTATTTATTTTCTCTTCCTCTATAGATGTCTTGTAAATGAGGTTTTCCGGGAGGATGAATTGCAGGTCAGAGAAGCTGGAATTCCGGGATAGACGAACGGATGTTTCAAAGTACATGCTGAGATATGGGTCGTTGGCGAAGAAGTCATGGTCCAGGGTGTGGACTCGGTGGTGTTGGCTGGTGTGGGTGCGGGACAGGAGGGCTTTGATCGAAGGGGCATTTTCTGTCATTAGTGCGTCATAATCTTCCTCGACACTTTGGCGGAAGTGGAAGAGGAGGAAGGAGAGTAGCAGGAAGGTTAAGAGGTGAGAGTAGAATATGGTGGCGGTACGTCTGAGTATTTGAGCGGTAGTGCCACAGTCGATGGGTGGAGGAAGCTCACGGCGGCGGTGTTGGCCGCGGGTCATGGTGGTTTTGTTGTCGAAGAATTGAATTTGGCGGAGTTAATACTTTCTGTTACGATTCTTGAAAATGGAAATGTGACTTCAGCGTATATTTAAAAGATTGAAATTTACGAAGTGTCCCTCACATTTCAGAACTCACTCTTTTAATCCTTAAACTTTTCAAATACTTGCAACTAATGCGTATTTACTAAGACTGTAAATGAATCGGATATGGACCGGATCTGCCTATATCCGATCCATTTACAATAAGAATAATTATCTGATTCAATTTGATCTGATCCGATCCGATAATCCAACAGATATTTGATTGTTAAATCCATATCTGTTTTACTATGTTATCGGATATCCGATTCGAAATTAAAAAAATTAGGAAAAAAAAAATCAATGTTGGAATTAACTTTTTTTAATTATTTTTTTTCTAATTTTCCAATTTTTAAAGGGGTTCGTTCAATAAGTATAAATTTCTCAATTTTTATGTTTTGAATTTGATAACTTTTTTATTCTAACTTTATTTATTTTAGTGGCAAATAAAATGCCATAAAAATATTTTATCGATTCAATTATTTATAACAAATCAGATCGAATTGTTATCGGATCGGATTGACTTAGGGAAAAATTCATATTTCAGGTGTATGGTTTACACCAATTCAAAAGTCAGATAGATATTTTAACCATTCAAAACTTAGGTATTAGTTAATTAATTAAAAATATTTATTAATTAGGTCACAATTATACAACTAATGGTCACATATACATAATTATAAATCACAATTTATTTATTGGTCACATATTTTCAAATTAATTAGTCACTGATGATTTCGAGGTCACAAATTCAAAAAATTATAGGTCACAGTTATTTTCATTGGTCACATATTTTCAATTTGTTGATTACAGATTATTTTTCCGTTACATAATGTCAAATTTTTAGATCACGGTTAAATACTTAGTCACCTACCACTGACACTACCGCTTCAGCCACAACCACCATCATTGCCATCGCCACCAACAACCACCACTGAACAACCATCATCCAACCACCACTGAACAATCACCAACACTACTACCACACCATTACAAGCACCACTAAAACGCAATCATTTGCAAACAAAACCAGAAAAACATAAAAAAAAAAAAAGAAAAAAAAAGAAAACCACCCATCTTCATCCACCACTTTCGGCTCGTGTTTTCTGGTTTGGGTTTTAGATCTGACGAATCTAAAGGAGCCACAGAATAGGCGAGGGTCTCATGGAGCCACAACAGTGAACCTGTACAAGAGAGAAAGTGAGTTAGGGTTTTAATATTAATATATTTATTAAAGTATAAATCATAGATTATCGGATTCGGATCTTGACCCGGTTATTGGATTAAGCCCCTAAATCTATCTCTCATTAATTTTATCGGATTCGAATCAAAATTCAATTCATTGACAGCCATAGTATTTACCTGAGAATTATTTCGAACCAAAAACTTGAGAATTGGTCCAAGAATCGATCAAGGCAAAAGAACCAAAAAATTAAAACTTGATAAAAATAAAGGAGCACGTCAGATCACCAACTGATTTTACCTGTTTTTCAAGTTTTATTTTTCTAAGAAAAGAATAATTTTATTACAACCACTTAGAACTAAGTTTGATCATCAAGAATTTATCTTTTTGGATCAATGCTCAAGTCTATTTTTAAGAAAATGCAACTAAGTAGATGACCGGAATTTTAAGCACTTAGAAGTTTAATTGTCCCAAAACTAGGTACTTAGATGTGGATACACTAATATCAAATTACTAATTCCTCAAAAAGAAATTTTGCTTTGTACCGTAGGTCCAATTATTTGGGCATAAATATTTATAATATGATTGATACATTATTATTTATTATTTAATTGAATTATTATTTAGATAAATTAAACTAATAGAGTTCGTAAAATTCAAGTTCTAATACCTTGTTAATTTCAAGGAATTTTGATTATGAGATACTAGTTATATATGATTGAATCTTAAATTATCCATGATCGTAAGTAATGATACGGATATCATTTTTGAATAGACCAACACGTGTGATTGTTTATATTATTTTTCTAATTCTTACTTTTGTGTATAACTTATTAGGTTTGTGATCAAGATTCTAAAAGGAATTTGGAAAATTTACTAAACGCATAATTTTAATCACAATTTTCATCTAAACACGAAGACGATCCTTGAAAGAGATTGAAAATTACTTTTAATTTTGAAAAATAAATCCCCAACGACAGCAAACTATACCTCATTTTCAACAAATTTGGTATCGGCAAATATTCCAAAAATTGTTTAGCCAACTTGTAGCTCTTAAGGCCATCTTCAATTCCACAACAAAATTTGAGTTAAGTTTTGCACCTATTTTTGCAGCAAACTGAAAAGCATGTCCAACCCATTACACCAAAAGTTGCACAAAATGAACAACGTTTTATCATTTTTCTTTATTTTTTCACTCTTAAAATTTATTTATCTCAAAATTTATTTATTTATTTTATTATGACACACATTACTAAATAAAATAATGACATTTATTTAACGAAAATATTGAATTCATTAATATTAAATTCATTCCTCAATTATTATTGATTACATAATTAAAATTTACTGCAAATGCACGTGGTATTAGTAGTAGTAGTAATAATTTGTTGTATAACAAAAAATTGTACACAAATACTCTTAACAAAAAAAAATTGATACAAAATGGAAAAGACGGGGAAAAATGTATGGTTGGAGAGAGGTTGCACCATTTTTTTTTGAGTAAAAATGGTGTTTTGGGGATAGCATTGGAGATGGCCTAAAACGGAAAAATGAAGTACGTCCATAGTAGTTTGTTTAGATGGAAGGCAACGCGTTAATGCTCCCTTATGAAGTAGCAAGAAGAATAATCAAATTGCTATTCCATTACGCTCTCTATAGTTCAATACAACATAAAGTGACAACGGAGGTATATCATTATCAACCTTACACTATCATATTATCAAGAGCACATTTTTTGCAGGCATAGCAAGATGGGTGCAACACTTTTCACCCCAGATGAAATTCGAGAAACAGCATATTACATTCTTACCAACTATACACAATTTCGTAAATGGCGATATCACCAAACAATGACACTGTAGATTTGACGTGAACTGCAAGGCATTGAGCAACAAAAATTACCGCTATCTCTTAGGATTGCAACAGAGCCAGATACCAGTATCCTTGGCTCAAGAATTCAAGGCTCGAAACAGAACTTTCCATCAATTTACATAGAGCTCTGAAAGAAGGGCTTGCATCTGTCCCCTCCCAAGCAAATCCCTTGCTGATAAGTAATAAAGCACCCAAGCCACCAAGAAAAAAACCTCCATCACGCATTGAAAAGCCAAAGAACAAAAATTCCCTAAAAATGTCCATACTATCCCCCTTCCGAGAGACCCGCAAATTATTGCTTCCAAAACCCTTATCTCAAGGGCAGGGGTATGGAAAGCTGCCAATATATGCCAAGTTTCTTGCGAAATTTCTATAATACTGATTGGCCAGTCTACTACGGCAACCCAAGAAGCCACAGAAAATATAAATCCCACAATCAAATCAGCACAGAACCATTTCACTATAAAATCTGCAGTCTCCCATTGAGGACCCTGAACCCATGGCACCAGATTGATAAAGGGCATCACCCTCATGGCAACCACAAGAAACGAGAAGAAATTGTCAACTTCATAAGAATATTTCGCAACCTGCTTCGCGAGAATATCCCTCGCCGCCCAATTTATGAAACTAAACTGCAGAAGTCTTCTAACCCCAAACGTTGCACCATTAAGAATAGAGTGATATACCGATCTCTTATTTCCAGACAGGTGATCCATCACCTGAAGAAAAACAATCCCATGTGCCCAAGTGTAGGCAAACAAACTTGTGAAAAATGCAAATGCATAAACCACACACGAAACGATCAGTAAAGTGAACAAGAAGTTGTCATTATCGCGGCCATTCACGTGACCCTTTTGCAATAACTCCAAATCGAACTCAATAAGTGGATCGTCCAAACTTCTTTCCACGAATTTATTTACTGTGTCGTTATGCTTCGGAATTTCAGCCCTGAAAGAGAAACCGCCTGGGAGGATGATTTGCGGGAATGAGTTGACTTGGTCGAAGATGGAATTAGTGGTATTGCCACCCAATTGATTCGACTGGGGGCGGTCATATGAGTCGCCGGAGAAGAAGTTATAGTCAGGGGTACCGACGGGGGAAAGCTGAGACTCGGGACTGCTTTGACGGATGCCGTGAGCCCTGCGGAATTCCATGCGGGTGAGGAGGTCTTTTACGGAAGGGTCGTAGTCATCGGCTAGGCTGCCATACATTTCCTCGACAGGGTTGCGGATGAAACAGAGGATGAGGGAGAGCACCAGGAATGTTGGGAGGTGACGGTAGAAGATTGCGGCGGCATGTCTGAGTATTTCAGTAGTAGTGCTGTGGTTCAGGGGTGGTAGTTTTGGCGGTGGTGGAGGAGACTGATGGCGGTGTTTGTGGTTCTTGCGGCGGGGCATGGTGGTTTTGTTGTTCTTGAGAATTGGCGGGTTATTACTCACAGTTAGGATTCTTGAAAATGGAAATGTAACTGTAATGTGGTCTAATCAATTCGATCTCAATATATGAAAGAGTAAATTTACGCAAAAAGTGAAAAAACAGAGTCGCTCAACTGAAGGGGAAAAATTATAATTGACTCCCCCACATTTCAGAACTTTTTGTTTCAACCCCGGAAGTTTTCCAACTTGCACTAAAACCTTGACTGAAGAATATCGTTTAAAATTTAAAGCACAAACTCTTACTTAATTACTATAATAATAAATAGACAAAGTTTAAATAAACATCATAAAATTAAAACATACTCTACATAGATATGTAGATTGATAATAATAATAATAATAATAATAATAATAATAATATAACATTATAAAGATGGTGAAAAATATGCTCTAAGTAGATATCACCACACAATGCTTTTTTTCAATTTCACGGATTGGACATGTTTGTCCAAATTAAGCACGCGCATGGATTGACCTCTCCTAGACAAGACTGTAGATGTCATATTTAAGGGCTATTTGACAAAAATTTGATAATATTTTGAACAGATTTTAATAAAATCGAAGAAAGTTGCAAACCTAAAAATAAAGTCTTAATTTTTATTTCATTCATATCATCGTGACTAGCCATGAAGCATCATTTAGGAAAAAAAAATTAAGCTTCAATCATAGTATCTGTTTCCCGTGGTTACTCGCTAACAATTAAAAGAGGATCAGACGATTGTGTAAGGAACAAACATCTTGGAACAAAGTCCCAAAAAAGGGTGTTTATCGAATATGAAGATTACAGTTTGAATACGAACAAGATGCCTTCAAGGGGCGCAAGCATACAAGTACAAGGAGATGAATTAATTAAAGTTAATCTAAGAAAAAGTAAATTACATATTCTCTGTTTGAGAGTGAATTTTGTCGGGCTTTCTTCATTGCTTTCCTCTTCCTTTTATACTCTTTGGACAGTTCTTAACCGTTTGAACTCTGTTTGTAACTATCCATTTCTTTCATAGTGGCTGACTGACCAATAACTATCATTTGTAACTCATACCACCACGTTTTCTTNACTTTTATCGACAACTTTCATACAAAATAAAGTCAAACGAATGATAATCGGTATGGTAAATTTTTTTTTTTCAAAATTTTTTTTTGACAATGTAAACAAATTTAGACTCAATAGTAGAAAAAATTATCATTTTAATGGACAAATTTCATAAAAAACGAAGTCAAATAGACACCAAATTTTCAACATTTTCCCTGGAAAATTATACAAATCAAACACAATTAATTACAATTTTTAGTAAAACATTTTCTAAAAAAATCAATTCCCTGTAAAACATTTTCTTTCCACCAATTTTTTACCCTTGCAATTAAACGGACCCTAAGAGATACATGGAAATTAAAAGAACGCCTCATTTAAAATTGGGCTTCTCGGGGTAAGTGCAGCCGGACCTCTGGATAATGACGTTTGATGCATAACAACCTGCTTTTACACAATCTTCAATGGGTTTCTCTTTAACCAACTGAGACAGAAATCCTCCAACGAAAGCATCCCCTTGAACAAATGTAAATGCAAAGTAATCAAATTGACGAACATTCATCAGGTGCACCTAATCTGTAAGGTTTGTTTGAGTTGGACAGAGACAGGCATTGAGCCGATATTCTTGGACTTGTTGACATCAGAGTATTAGAAATGTAGGATAAATGGCTACCCAGTCTTGATGACGTGGAGGATCACAGCATTGCAAGAAGACAGTCAGTTGACAGTTAATTTAGTGTGTGTTTGTCTCCCATTATTGTAGAAGAAATGGAGTAATGAATAATATTTTTTGGAGAATATGTGGTTGAAATTTAAAGTAACTTTATTAGTTTGTGTATAGAATATTTTTTTGGGTGAATGTGTGGTGGAGAATCTTACTATACCAAACAATGTTTTGGAATAATGGGAGACAAACAGGACCTTAGCTAGTGGACTGTTGCAGAATTAGTTAGGTTCTGTTGAAAGGAATCTTTTCCCTTGTGCTGTTATAAATATATAAGAACATAGTAGGATCCAATTATTCAAAGGTGTGAAAATGAATGTATAAAGAGAGCACAAGAAAAAGAGACTGGCACATTTGGTCAAGATTTAAGTAAATGAATTAACTTTTTGTTTCCAAAAAATTTGGATAACTCGCTTTTCTCTTATTTTAAGTAAAAATGATTGCTTATTTTGAACATAGATCTTACCTTATTATCAAAATGACTAACTCGATTATTCCAGCTTTCATCAATAAAAAAAAATTCATTTAAAACTTATCTACTTGTAAATTAACTTTTCAAGCTCAGCCAATATGTTCCAAGGCTGAATTTTATTCTTTCATTAAAAATGCTTGACGGAAATCTTCCATTATAGGAGAAATTCTCCTAACCATGTAAATCTTTTTCGTGTTTGTGTAAGTAATTCTCAGAGACAACTCATGCAATTCAATATTGCCCGTCTTCATTATATTCTAAAAACAGTGTAATACACTAAAAGAAAAAATATGAAATCACATACCTTCCCCATTTGGATCAACAAGTTTCTCTTTTGGCAATGGAATTACAGGGAACAACTTCACCTTCCCATCCTCTGCAACAACAACTGGATCTGCACCCTGAGTAATAACAGTAATTCTTTTGTGTGTTCCAGAGGCCTTTGGCCACTGAGAGATTTTCAAAGCTATTTCCTCAATGTTGTCAGTCTGGTCATTTAAAGCAACCAATTGTCAAGTACATTATAACGGAATGTGTCAGTGTGTCAGCAGATCTCATGCAGAGACTCCATTACCTTCCAGCCATGTACTTTCGAGAAAGTTCGTGCTTCCGTTTCATATCCAAAAACAAAGTCCATATACCTAAACCCAAAGAACAAGCCCTTGATCAACATCTCTAATTCACATTCAATAATTATTTGAAAGAAAAAGACATTGGCGTTACGGTAATGCTTTCTCTTGCACATCCTTGAAGAACTCACAGATAAATGGAGCAGAAAGGTTCATCATGAAAACCTGCAGATGTACAAATATTTAGGAGGCAAAAGAGGTTACATCACAAGCAGCTGTTCTGCAAAAATTTGCGCAAATTTAATGTCTAATTTCTAACCTTGTTGTTTGCGGCTGCATGCTCAGCAACAAGCATGATGGACTCTGGGGAAACTGTGAGAAAAAATCCAGCAATGTAGAAGTACTTGGCCTTTTCAACTGTCAAAATATTGACTAGTTAATTGATTTGCAAAAAGGGATAACTGCAATTTAACTCTATGTTCCGACAGAGAGTTGTTTCACCCCTTGTAGTTGGGAAATAACCTATAGATTTCTTGTGGTTTTCGAAAGTCCAAAGACCACCCTCTCCCCATTAAGTTGGCTGAACAGTGTTAATGTATCCTCTGATTAGATCACGGTGGTATTTCTTTTATTAACAAGGATAAATAATTATTTCATAAAAGTATTAATAACACAAAGCCAACTAAATGGAAGGGGGCGGAGAAAATCAGCAAAAATACCACGAGGGTCTGTTAGACTACTTCCAAACTACAAGGGAGAAATTGACGAAATAACAAACCAACAGGGAGGGGTGTCAATTGCAATTTTATACTCCATAAAGAGCATGACTCAGGCCAACAGTAAACAATCTTAAGTAAGCATACCCAACGCCCAATTTTCTGGTTTCTTCAAATGATCAGATTTGTAGCAGTTTGCTGCTGACAAATTGGCCACAAGAGATCTGCAAATACATATCCCATAAAATGTCAGTCCAGTATGCTCAGAGCCATTTGGAGTGTTAATTGTTTGAGGCCACATCAGAGAAGCTCAATTATGACTAAGTCAACACCCCCAACCCAACCGAGCTGGGAGTCTCAGCTTCTCTTGTTTGAAAAACTAGTAAGAGTAATATATGCCCTCAGCTCAAAGATCCAAGACCTTGCAACAAATATGAGGCAGTTCCCAGAAGCGTCAGGCTTTACACAAATTGATATCTACTTGTTTCACTAAAATAGTTACAAAAGCAAAAACATACATTGATTTGAAAGTCACACAAGTATTATACAAGACCCACATGTAAATGCTAGCAAGCTAGTTTAAACTGATTATGCATCGATCTAAATGGATGTCTATTTTCTTTAGGATGGCAAACGCATGCTTAGTCATTGGATAATGTAACCCATCAATCACTACAGCATGTATTTTCTGTTAAAGATAGCATTCTTCTATTCATTGTTAAAACTTTTCGTACAGTGGAGATCCAGTGTACCATATAGTATATACCACAATTTTGGTGCAGTTAAATGGGTCATAGAAGTCTAATTTATAATCCTTGGAAATTTTGGGGCCAAGGGACATTAACTAGATAGCATCCTTCAGTAGAGTAGATTGTGAGCAGCTACAGTTACACCCAACTAAGCAACAGATTCTGGATAGAGTAATGCTATTCATCCCTACTGGGGATGAAAACACAGTCTAGGTGGCGTCAATGTGGCATTAAATGATAGGTGAAATTAAATAAGTCATTTAATTTCACATTTCATTTAACCTATCATTTAAAACTACATAAACTGTGTTTGCATCCCCACTGGAGATGAATAACATTACTCTTCTAGATAATAACATTGTATCAAAACAACAATTCCACATTAGCTAAATGTGAATATTCTTAAAGTTATTCTAAAGTTTTTTGCAACATGTATTCGCACAGTTCCTTGGAGCTAAAGAAGATATTGTCGCCTAGAATGATTTGGCCCTCCCATGTTATTGAGTCATTGAAGCTGGGACGATTCCTTACTCGGTCCGACTTAGTACAAACATCGCTCAGACTGGTCTAGTAGAGGAATTGGTATTCATTTTGGTTATATGTTTTTAATTTTCATGACATTTTCTCATCTTCTCTGCGTTTTATTTTAGGGGTCTTTACTCTTCATGTATAACGCAAAAGGAGGGGGATCAAGAGGGATAATGGCTTTTTAAAGAAAATGGCGCAACAGGAACTTGACCTAGCTTGATTTTGGCCTACCCACGTTACAGGTGAGTCCATGATCAAGTTGGGAAGACCCCCAGCTCAGGTTTTGGATTTGGTTCTAGTGATTTAAGGTTTCCTAGTTCGCATAAATTTTGGGGTCATTAAGGCTTGAAAGGCTTGATTGTTTAAGAAAAAGTAAACAATTAAAGAACTACATTATAGTCCAAAAAATTCTGGTTTGCTAAAATTTGAGTCGAAATAACTAAATATGGAGTGTTACTATCAATCATTTTTATTATCTTGACGGCAAAATCATGTTCCCTTGCTATGGCTGAAACGTTTGTGTATAAATTCTACAGAAAAATGAAACATACAATTTTTAATGCATAAGAAGCTGTGGAATATTATTGTTTCTTTGTTGTTTTATAACCACTCGTATGATATTGACAACAGCGTGATTTAAATTTTCTACAAATCGAAAAATTACAAAAATCAATTTTTTAGTGCACTGGAAGACATGGGTTAATAGAAACTAAAAAGTCAAGTTTACTTAATTACATGGCAGACAGAAAAGAAAATCTTAAGCAAAAGCCAGGATACTAACCTTCCGCCACCCACGACACATACAGCGCAAGTACCGGTAGGAGACTCATCTTCGTAGTAATGAACCTAATGTTGCCATGTGCAAGAGATAAAAGAAATATTATTCCTCTATTATAGAAATTGTTATTATTTGAGACTTTTACATGTTATAGATCTAGAAAAAAGAAATATTAAGGAATAAAAGATAACATAATGATGGTGTCGTGACTTGTGATATTGATGACAACAATGGCTTTAAGTTAATACTGAATACACTGTGTATAATGTGGTCAAAGTCAAGATAATGTTTATTGTGGTCGACAGATGAAAATCACGGTTGTAATGTTGATGGTGGTTAAATCAACAATGGAAAAGCTAAGAATGCATTGAAATAACTAACATTAACACCAGCTTGTTTGGCATTTTTCTTTATTTCCTCGCCATATTTGTCCTTTCCAATGGAGCCTATGTAACTGGTTGCACCGGGAATTTGAAGCATCCACTGCAAATGGTAAAATGAATTTCTTTTATGTAAACATTTAAGTATAGAATTGATAAGAGACTAAGAGTTTCAGAGCCAGAAAGAAACGGCAGATATACCTGAGCAACTCTGATTGAATTCTGTGTAGCACCTACATTATCGAATTATAGAAATCATCAACAATCCCACTAGTATATTAACAGAGAAGGTTATATGAATCATTTTCAAGAATTCAATTTCATACCTCCAGCAATGAACTCCACACTGTATTTAGACGACATTTCATCATACCTGACACATGCAGAGAGTTCATTCAGTGGTAATGAAGTAACCAATCTTTTTGATGAAAACAAGATCTCTCTCTTTTTCTTTTTTTTATCATCTTGAACATTTGTTTTCTTAGTAACAAAATTATACTAATATTTTCCCAGTAATTTTGTGGACTCATTATTTTCTAGTCAAATAAGAATTAACCTAGCTTTTGCAACATTGGATCTACGAGGAGAAAGTCAACGTTAAAACAGCCTACCTACCAGGTAAAATCTTCTCTGAGGAGATAAAAAGACACATACTTTGTCATGACAATAGGAACAACATTATAGGTTCAAATTGCAAGCTAAAAATCTGACAGTTGAAGAAACTGACTTTTGCAACTTCAGAACAATCAAAACACCCTACCTACTAGGTAAAATCTCATCTGCGGAAACAAAAGACCATTGCTTAATAGGACAAGAAATGAATCATAGTATAGGTTTAGAATGCAAGGTAAACATCTGACGGAGGTGCGGTGTCCCTGCTAAACCAAACACCTCATCTAGGTTAACAAGAGAACAATGCACTACAAAAATTCTGATAAATCTCATCTACTTTCCCTGTTTCAGGGATCAATAATTCCCTAAAGAATATCTTTTCCTATGAAAAAACTATTCAGACTAGGGAAAACTACAAAAAATACTTTTAATAGCCAAATTTAAACAGAATATATTGCATTAAGCCAAATTCCTAAGATAAATAATTTGCAATCCAGTATGCATGGCCACTGTTATAATTAAATCAAAGCATCATATATCATTACAAGAACATTCTTAAATGGTTCACAGAATCTGTGCCAGAGGAAAATTTTTCTGACAAAGTTATATTTGGCAGCACATTCTGGCAATCAATATGCTTGCTTGTGCTACCCAGTGCCAACGATGACTTCATATTATGAACCAACAAATTATTCATAACTGCAAATCAAGCCACATGTGGAACTCTATGGCTAAGCTTTCTGTTCTCTATCTTTTTAATCTCTTCTTCACTTTACTACAAGAGCATTTCCATGAAGACCTTTTGCAGTGACCAATATATAATCTACAAAAAATGCATTACAAAATGAATTGCATAATTTAATGAATTTTTTTCTTCTCTGCCATTAATTTACTCGTTTAGCAGCTGGTTAGTAGCAGAATAGGCATCAAACTCCTAGATTTGACTTGGAAAACAGTCAAAAAGTCACTACATTTCAAGTTAATTAATATTAGTATAACTGCCATGAATAGCAAATTTTTTCTAATTTATATCTTACAATTGCAGAGTGACAAATTTCAAGACATTGTGCATAAGAAAATTCATAGGTATTATTAAGTGCTTGTTTGGGAGAGATTTTTGGGGGAAGAATTGATTTTGAATAGTGATATGATGGGAAATGTGTGATTGAAAAAGAAGAAAATATTATTGATGTGATGGAAAATATTATTTTATTTAAAAATGTGTGGTTGAAAATGAGAATTGATTTACTGTAAAATTTTGAGAATCCCTCCCAAACAGGGCCTTAATACATT